ACTGGAGTTCAAGCATCTTGCAGTGTGTGCCTCTCCATTCTTCCTCCAGACTCTGGGTCCTTGGTTTCCAAATGAGATGCAAAAGTTGCTCTCATCAGAAAAGAGGACTTTGGATCACTGAACAACAGACCAGGTAAGACGCTTCTGACATTGTTTGTTGTTCAGGAGCGGCTTGACATGAGGAATACGACATTTGAAGCCCATGTCTAGGATCCGTCTGTGTGTGGTGGCTCTTGATGCACTGACTCCAGCCTCAGTCCACTCCTTGTGAAAGTCCCCAACACTTTTGAATGGCCTTTTCCTGACAATCCTCTCCAGGCTGCGGTCATCCCTGCTGCTTGTGCACCTTTTTCTTCCACAATTTTCCCTTCCACATAACTTTCTATTAATGTGCTTTGATACAGCACTTTGGGAACATCCAACTTCTTTTGCAATTACCTTTTGAGGCTTTCCCTTCTTATGGAGGGTGTCAATGATGGTTTTCTGCACAACTGTCAGGTCAGCAGTCTTTCCCATGATTGTGATTCCTACTGAACCAGACCGAGAGACCATTTAAAGGCTCAGGAACCCTTTGCAGGTGTTATGGCTTAATTAGCTGATTAGAGTGGGATACTTGGAGCCTAGCATATTGAACCTTTTCATAATATTCTAATTTTCTGAGATTGTGGATTTGGGGTTTTCATGAGTTGTAAGCCATAATCATCTCAATTATAACACATCACAGCTTGCCCTATCTTGCTTTGCATGTAATGAGTCTATCTCATATATTAGTTTCACCTTTCAAGTTGTATTACTGAAATAAATGAACTTTTGTATGATATTCTAATTTTTCGAGTTTCACCTGTATGTGATCCTTATGAATATAATTTTTCATAATTTAAGAAACACAAACAAGTTTAAAAGGTAAATATGGTAATTAGGCCTAACAGTGTCAAACTGTAGCTGTGGGGTACAAAAGGCTAAGATAATTAGAGAATGAATATGCTGCAAAATCCAATTGGAATTAAGATAAAAAGAGCCCTACAAGGATGGTGTATTCTTCTTACAAGCAAGAATAATTTGAGGCAATTTTGAATGTGATGATAGGAAAGTAGATTATGGAGACTTATCAAAGAGTTTTTATTGCTGTGAACAACACTACGATAAGAAATACTAAACTATACAGTATATACTACTTCTTTCCAAGCTGATGTGCATCTGTAGTAGTAGCAATGTAAAACATCTCTATACCTCATTTTTAAAAGCTAAAAAACAGTGCTGAAGGGTCAAGATTAGCTAGATAATTTTTTTTCAAAAGTATTTATTACATGCTGAAAGCAATATATTATAGCTCACTCTGGATAAAAGAATCCAGACAAGATATGCTTAATCACTATTTTTGATGCCACATAAATACTTGTAGAAAAATATGCTAATGTAATTTGACATGGATTTTAATGCAACTTATAAAAAACCTTATACCCATGCAAATCATTTGATGAGAAATCAAGCTGCTTTGAGACCTACCCCATATTCTTCTCATTATTTGCATACAGAGATTATCTCAGAAGAAACTCAAAGCACCTACGCCTTTAAGCAGAAGATGCACGGAATCAGAGGGGTAGCAGGAGGCACCTACTCTCAAAAAAGATGAAATACCACACCTGTCCCACAAATAGATTGCCAAACTGATAGTTCAAGTAGGCATAATAGAGGTCTGGTAACATGTCATAGGTTTTCGGGATCTTCCCGTTATTTTCAGAGAAGTTACAGTGTGCAATGACATATGAAATATGATTAGTGCAAGCTGTGGCAGGATTGAAAATCAATAGACAGAAAATGTAATTTTAGCAAAAAATTGAACAGAATTAAAAATAACAGAATTAGAAAGAGCGCCTGGACTACAAACAACAAGAAAAATCAAATATTTGGATCTATAGTTGACAGCACAATGTAAGGCGATAAAGTAGAATAATTATAACAAGCTACTACAACAAACAAACAAAGACTTAGAATTGTGGACGAAAAAGCAATTGTCATTGCTAGGAAGAATAGTTGCCATAAAAATGTCTATACTACCAAAATTTCTATACCTATTCCAAACCATTTCAGTTAAATTAGAAAAGACATTCTTCAATAACCTTAATAAAATAATAGCACAGTTTATCTGGCAAAGGAAAAAACCCAGAATAAAAATGAAACTACTACAAGATATGAAGAGCAGAGAAGGTTTTGGATTGCCAAACTGGGAACTATATCATAGTGCAGCAATATTAGTTTGGTTAAAAGACTGGATCAATTTGAAGAATAAAAGAATACTAGCTATAGAAGGTAACGACCTACAGAGAGGATGGCATGCCTTTCTGTGGGATACAGGACCCACCAAACAACAATATTTCCATAGACACTTGATCAGAGATTTGTTAATAAATAATTGGATCAAAGTCAAAAAGAAACATTACATAAAAATCCCAATCTGGCTATCTACAATGGAAGTGATGACCCATCCAAACAATTTAGATTTGAATAAAATGTTAAAATATAAAGACCTACTAGATATTCATGGGAACTTAAAAACAATACAAGATCTCCAAGAACAAGAGCTACAAGTAGACTGATGGGCTTATCTCCAAATACAAAGTCGATATAAAAAGACATAAAGGATTACGGAATATACCTGAAACCACAACAATTAGACAAAATCTTATTAGGCCCGGATAAAAAAAAATATTACTAAAATATATAAATACCTTTTGGAAGTAGAATTGGAGGAAGAAGTAGTGAAAGGATGCATGATTGCATGGGGTCAAAATATTGGACACAACATAAAATTATCAGATTGGGAGACCATATGGAACAGAAATCACAAATTAACAAAATCAACAGCATATAAAGAAAATGCATATAAAATGTTCTATAGGTGGCACTTACCCCCTTCGAGATAAGCAAAAATGTACCCCAAAATGAGTCCCATATGTTGGAAATGCAAAAAAAAAAAGAGGGAACATACTACCGTGTTTCTCATATTATAAGGCCGGGTCTTTTTTTTTTTTTTGAGCCCTGAAAAAATGGCTAGGCCGTCTTTTCGGGGGTGACTTAATTCCCCCCCCCCCCTTGCATCTTTGGGCAGGCGGCGACAGCTTGGATGTTGACCTCGGCGTTGGTGGGGCACTTCGTATCAGGGTCAACACAGGCAGCACCATATCCGGGTGTGCAACAAAAGTACTTCCTAACGGCAAGCCCCCGCACCATTCCCCCCCATTTTGCATGTTTTAATATAGGCCTTAATTCGGGGGGAGGGGCTTAATTTCATTTCATGCCTATAAAACATGCTGGGACTTCCTATTGGGGGAGGCCGTATTGTTGGACAAACAGGGTATCATATGTGGTGGTCCTGCCCAGAGGCTCGAAAATATTGGCTTAAAATCAAGGAATGGTTACAGGAAATTACTAACGAGAAATTAGAGCTAGAACTGGAAATCCTCCTATTGGGGATTTTAAAAAAGAAATATGTAAAGAGCACAGAATACTTATTATTACACATATTAACTGCTGCCAGGATCAGCTTTGCTCAATGTTGGAAACAGCCATCTATACCCTCAGAGAAACTTATACAAAAAGTTATGAGCTGTGTGGAAATGGATAAGTTTACGCTGAGTTTAAAAGATAAAGAGGCTTCAATATTTTATAAAGTGTGGGAACAAAGGTATAATTGGATAGAACGGAGATAGATTAAAGATAGGTAGCTATGAAATATAAGTAATAGATAAGAATGTAATCACATATACATTAACACCTGTAAATAATGCACGTATTATTGTTATAAGATAAGCACTAAAAATTGCTGTTATTGAGTAATTTATTTTTTATGTTTTTAATTTAATAAAAGTGTAATAAAGTTTAAAAAAAGAAAAGAAATATAATTAGTGCAAGCCTCTAAATCAGGGTTGTCAAACTCAAGGCCCGTGGGCTGGATCCGGCTGGCGGGGTGCTTAGATCTGGCCCATAGGAAGCCCTGGAAACAGCAAAGGACCAGCCTGTGGTGCCTCTGCTAGCAAAAATGGAGCCTGGGGGGGCACTGGCAGAGAGCTGCAGCCCATCCAGTCCGAAAACAGGGCGCGACATGGCCCCCCAGCTCTGTTGTTGCTGGCAGAGAGCTATCAAAACAAACTAAAAACAAAACAAAAGGAGAAATGTTTCCCCTTTTGCATTTGAGCATGCAGGAAGGGATAGGAAAGGAGAAAGGTTAGACAAAGGAAAGGAAAGGAAAGACAAAGAAAAAGAAGGAAAGATGGGAAGAGAGCAAGGAAGGAAAAATAAGGAAAGAGGGGAAGGAAGAAGAAATTAAAAGGTAGGAAGCATATGAGAGTGAGGGAGGGTCTCAGGGAAGTCCTGCCTTAGCAATTGGCCACCAAAGGTGCCCCCAACACGAGTCCTGTGTCATGCCCACCATGGCCACACCCACCCACCCCTGGCCCGAGGTCAAACACAACCCTGATGTGGCCCTCAATGAAATTGAGTTTGACACCCCTGCTCTAAATCATGGATTTAAAATGGATTCAAGGGGGGAAAGATAAGTGGAAAAGTCAAAATAAGGTTGTGTGTTTTTGTAACAGAAGGGAGATAATAAAGTTGAAGATGTAGATTTAAGAATACAGATGCCTAATTAGTACATACATTTTTAATTTAAATAACACAGAAAACATATTTAACAACTACATTTCAATTGCTTTTCTGCATCATGTTTATACTTTTCAATATGATATTAGTGTAGTGAGTTTTACGATAAATAAGACTACCTTCCACCACGTCCAACCCGTCTGCGTGAAAATCCAATGCACCTGTGTGGCACAGTAAGGGTGGTTAAGCAGTATCTGTAATGCTCATCTCCTAATGTTGCCTCTTTAGGACTATTCCACAGCAAGTCACCAGTTTGTTCTAAATGAGGCTTTGAAAAGAAATAATTGAAAAGTGTTAAAACATGAATTTAATTAATAACTGTAACAACACAGTACTGTAGAAACTCAAAACTTACAGCATAATACTGACAGCCTGCTTTCCTGTGGAAAGCAAATGGCCCATCAGGATCATTTTCTTCCTCAACTTCAGAAGAGCCAGACAAGACCTTCAAAAAGAAAGTAGTAGATAAGTACAAAGACGCAAGTATCTTTCTTCCCTCTGAACCAAAGAAACTGTAGACATCATACGTGAGAAAGAGGTTCTTCATCAGAGCTGGGAAAGTCGTACTGATTCAGTGCAGCAGGAGTTGACTGCTGAGTAGCAAGAGCAACTGATGATGGTACAATTTTGGGCTTCTTCTCATATTTTCTCTTTGGTCGTATAGCATCAGCTTTCTCTTGCTGCATGAAGAGAAAATGCATTAATGGTTTTATCTGAGTAAGTCAATTAGGAGAAAGAAGATCTAAGTTTTAGAAACTTTTTTTTAAATGTACCATTGTGATAAAATGAGAGGTAAAGAGGGATTTCTCCTTCCCTAATAGAGAATCAGGTAAAGACTCTTTCAAGTTGACTGCAAATCATGGTGACTTCATGAACATTTCTAGTAAGAATTTTCTTCTGCATTTTTTTACAACTTCACAATTGAGACCACAGCCCCGGGATTTCCTGATGGTCTCCCATTGAAATACTGACAAAGCCTGATTTTGCTTAGATTTTCAAGATCAAACAGGATTAGTTCATAGGAAGCTTTAACCTAATAGACTATCAAAATTACTTACCACAGAGAATAATAAGTAAGAGTACAGGTAATCCCCAGGTTACGAATGGTCCCTTAGCGAAAGAAGTTACACAATAAGCATCTGCTAGCGTTTGCAAACAAGGCCCGAAACTACAAATCTTGCAGCACCACGGCAGTTGTTCACCTTTACGAACAACTGCAGACTCTGCAACATTTGTCCTGTACTTTGCCGGCTGAAATGTAGCTTCTGAGGGGCGAAATCGCCCCTTGGAAGCCCCATTCATCAATGCAGAGGCCTCACCCCACCTGTTGCATGATGAAATGGAGCCTCCGGGGCCATATCCAACCCCCGGAGGCTCCATTTTGGCCTGCAACGGGATGGGGGAGGCCCACGGAGGGCCAAATGGAGTGTCAAAGGGCCAGATTTGCCCCTCAGAAGCTCCATTTCGGCCAGCAACCTGCCAAGCAAGGCCTGCAGAGGCCCGAATGGAACTGCAGAGGGGCACACGAGGCTGGAGAGGAGACTGTTTGCTAGATCTTCACAAGTTAAGTGACCTGGCACAGCAGGTTGGGGGGGGGCAAGCAATTGTGGGGAACATGAGGTATTTCAGTGGGTCAGGGAGGCCTTGGGCGGTCTTAGGCAGGTGGCCTGTTCCATCAGAAGGCCCCCCATTGCCTTCCCCACTCTGAAATACCTCATGTGCACTTAATGAGCCTCAAATTCAATTAGCGAATGTGTGGGCGAAAGGAGTGATCCCATTCACGGTACGAGATTCACTCCCACGAATCCTTGGGTGAAGAATGGAATGGGCAGGGTCCATTACATTTGTAACTCGAGGACTACCTGTATCTACCTAGATAGCAGTTATCTTGAAATCTTTCGGAATGAAATTAACAATTCACATAGTTTAAGCATATTGATAGCATAAAATTATAAAGGAACAATTTTTTCAAGTAAGTAATATGCATAATGATTGATAGATTTAGTCACCTTGTTTATTTTAAATTCCTTCAATTCCATACTTTCTGGGTGTTTAAACTGAGTGCTATTAGCAACAGAAATAACAGGAACAGCATAAGTAGGTGTTATGGGCTGTTGATGTACCATTACTTCAGACATGATCTCTCCATTATAATCACCCAAATTATATCTGGAAAATAAAGAAAAAGTTTGAATTTACCAGAACTTTTAAATGTTAGTTTAAATACTTAAAATATGTATCTTTATTAACTTGTGAATCTACATCAGCATTTCCCTACTTGGGCAACTTCCAAATACATGGACTTTATTTTTGACAGTTCTTATCCAACACGGATATTGTTGACAATCCTGGCAGTTCAAGGTGATACACCTGGAAATTGCCCACACTGCGAACTACTGATCTAGAACTGAGTGTTACATAAAAGTCTTACTCAAGAAGAAAAAAATACCATGACATAAATACTTAGAATATACAATACATTCTAAAAGGATAATTGCAGTAAGCATGCAAAATGTTTCAAATTTGAAATGTTCTGAGATCAACATATCTCTTTTCAGCTTGGAAAAAAAAATCAGCTTGAAAAAGGGCTGTTCAAACTTCACAGAAGCATTCTGAGCTTGAAATAACCAAGGTGTTTAGAGTGCTAAATATTTTGTAAACCTCAGATAACAGTGAGAACAACATACATTTTCAGTCAGTATTTTCAACTCTAAAAGTGTAATGGATCTTGGGAGGAAGACCAGTTGATGTTGCTGCAAGAATGGCTGGGAAATAGCGGGCTCTGCTGAGTCCCATGAAATCCAGCCGGCAACTGCTGTCAGGAGACTCTTCAGGGACATAGCTGCCATGGAGGGGTGGTGAAGGAAGGGGAGACGCTTCGTTGACCACGAGGAAATTTCCTCATTAGGTCTGAAGCAAGCTCTCCCTGAACAACAGCAGGGATGACAGCCATTTTTGGGCTGTCATGAAGCAGGGACAATCGGGACCATAAGAATTGTGATGGGCTTCTGGTTGGTGACGTCATGGTGGTGCTGACATAGGAGCGGAGCTCTGCTCTGAATGTCCAAATTTGCACGCTTGGAAGCTTGAAGAGGCGACGAAGGACCCTGGAGAGGTCTGCAATATAGAGGGGAAGCTCTGAGGGCAGCGGGGGAGTCACGAACCCCCGCTGCAGTAAGAGGAAACCCCTTGAAAACCAGTGTGGAAGAGATCGGTCTTATGGCCAGGTCCAGAGGCATGATGGCCTGAACAAATGAAGAAGGAAGTGAAAGAGGGAAGCAGTGTGTTGTAGTGGTGAAAATCGATGAAGAGAGGTACTGAAATCTCAGAAATTTAACATCCTATAAATTGGTGGACAAGTGAGTCTCCGGGGAAGGAAGAATTGGCGACTTAGCGGTGGGAGCGGAAGATAAAGAACAAGCTATTAACTTTGTTATTGACGGTTGGAGAGGAAGGAATGACTGGATTTGGAAGACCAGAGTGGGTATCGGCTAGAATATAACAAAAAACTAACTTTTTAGCACTTGAATTGGATGACTATTTTCTTTTATGTGCTGTGAACAAGGTTTGGAAGGAGATTTCTAAAGACCCCTTTAGAGTGATAGAGAAGAAGAAAGAAGTCTCGAAAGAAGCAAGAAAGACAGGAGACTGGAATAGTGACTGTGCAGTCACTGTGCAGAATAGAAAGAAGACATTTTGACTGAAGGAGATCTGACTGTGCATCTATAGAGAATATTAAATATCTTAATTATTCTTAAATAGTAGAGATAAATATATCAAATAAGAAGGTAAAAGTTACTGTAATTGATGGTATAATTAATTAATTAATTAACTATAATTAACTAAGAAGATATATATCTGTATTATTTTATGTTTACTCTTTCTAGAATATTTACCAATTATGCATGGAGACACAAACTACTGCGGGAGGTACATGTAAGATTTACAAGAAAAATGACTACAGATGAAGCGTATCTAAGAAGAGATGAGCCATTGACTTACAAAGGAAAAGAAATAGTGACATTAAAAAAGGTTCCCAGAAGGATAAGACAGCAAAGAAGAAATTATAACTTTCTTTCATCACAACTAATTAAAAATAGAATACCGTTTAGGTGGCTGTTACCAGAAGGGATGCTCATTTCATGGCAAGAAAAAAAATTCCATATTGATACACTTGACAAAGCACAGGAATTTTATGATCATTATTTAGTATCTGATGAAGAACAGGACAGTAAAGAAGACATAGAGAGCAAAAGCCAAGAGGAACAACAACTGGAAGAAAAAGAACGTGATCAGGAAATGAAAGAAAGGGTGGAAATGGATCATCAAGAAGAGGAAAGGATAAGGATGAGATTGCAAAGAGAAGCAAGGGTAAAGAGAGGAATAAAAACTCTATATAAACAACAATATGGAACAGGAAATTAATTTGATATCAATTAACATAAATGGACTGAACTCTCCGGTTAAAAGAAGAAAAATGTTAGCAAGACTCCAAAAGCAGAATATGGACATTACTTGTTTACAAGAGGTGCACATTAAAAAACAATATGGAAACATTTTAAAATCACCTAAGCTAGGGAAATTGCACCTTGCCTTGTCACATAAAAAGAAAAGGGGTATAGCTGAACTTGGTTCGGACATAGGAGCGGCAGCTCTGCTCTGAATGTCCAATTTTTCCACGTCTGGACGCCCAACGAAAAACCCTGGAGAGGTCTGCAATAGAGAGGGAAAACTCCGAGGGTAGCGGGTGGAGGTGTGATCCCCTGCTCCTGTAAGAGAAACCCCTTGAAAACAGAGTGGAAGAGACTGGCCCTAGGGACGGCTCCAGAGGTGTGACGGCCCAAGAAATGGTGAAGGAAGCAAAGAATGAGACAACGGAGGCAAAGAGTGAAGAGTGAAAGTCAGAATTGATGGAGAGAGGTACCTAATCCTCAGAGATAAAACGACCTGGAGAGAGAGACTGACAAGTGAGTCTCCGGAGAGGGGAATTTGGTGATTTAGTGGTGGGAGCAGAAGATCAACAATCGAGTACAGTGAATGTTTGCCAGAGTGGGAGAACTGACTAGAGATTAAAGTTAGAGCTTGGAACTACTTTAAATTTATTTAAGACAGATAATTTGACTATTTGACTGACTATTTCGTGGGGTTTGGTGAGGCTTGCCTAAATAGACCAGAAGGAGGAGTTTTTGAAAGCAAATGGAAGAGAAATGCTGAAGGAGAGCTAAAGAAATCCGGCTGGGTTAGTGACTCTGCAGTGACTGTGCATATTAGAAGGAAGAGGACATTTTGTACCGAGAAGACTTGAAGGCTGAAGTATAAAGAATATTAAGCATTCTAAATTTTTCTAAGGACATCTGAACATTTGGACTTAAATACAAAAACTTGGAAAGAATAATTGTGTAAGGTCTGATAATATAACAATAAGATAAAAAGAAACAAGAGGTATTGTGATTGGTAGACCATAAATTGATATTTGTAATTTTCAATTTACGATATATATTGATTGATAAACTGATACTTATTCTCCTTTTGCTTTATCCTTTTTCTATATGAATTTTATATGAATTTTAGCTTTATATAATTGAATTAATTAGACAAGTTAAAATAAGACTGTGAAAGAAATTATTACTGATTATTGGAAATTGTGCTGATATTAACGTGTAATTCATTATCCACCACCTATTATTATTTACTCATGGATATTTACTAACTATTAATCAATTGATATTTACTACTATTTTTATTAATTGTAAACTACAAATAATATATATATAGAATATTGATTTATTGACTGTCTGATATCAACTGTATGGTTCCATTTTGGTTATTGTAGATAATTAGATTATTGATTATATTACTAGGACAAAGTAGCTAGTATAAAAGTATAACTGATATATTTTTATTGAGAGTTAATTAAATAAATGATACCTAGTGACTAAGATTAATTAGCATAATATAGAAGATATAATAACATAGATTCTGAGACCTTAAATTAAAGGAGGCTTATAGATAGTATTGTATTTATTTGACTATGATGTTGTAACAGATATAATAGTGCCCAGTTGGGTTGGGAATTTATGGTATTTTGGACACAGCTATATACAATTTTGAGAATGTCAACTACTACTACGACGACGACGAAGACAGGGAAAAAACCAACATCAATGATGCCTTCCCCATCAGGCCAAAGGTTGATAGAGAGTATGCTGGGAGGTGAAAAGTCGGGTTCAACATTAAGCCTACAGAATCTACAAACAACTCTAAACATGATGCAGGAGATGATGATGAAAACCCAGGAATCTATAACAAGTAACCATGAGGAAATGAAAGGTGGTATGGAAGAAATGAGGGGAGATATCTGTAAACTTGATGATAGGATGGGATTAATACAAGAAGCAATAACGAAGAATGAACAAAAAATTAAAATGGTGGAAGTTAGAACAGAACATCTGGAGAAGAAAGTTGAAATGATGGAGCAAAATATGATTGCCGCAAACAGGAATCTGGAAGATGCCATTACGCACCTAGAGAGATCTTCATTCTACCTACAATTTCAAAACATAGATGAACATAAAGAGAATCTACCAAACTTGATGGCAGAGCTGCTAGCCAATGCATTACAGAGGGGCGTCCAAGAAATGAGAAATGATATAGAAGAGGTGTACCAAATTTATACTAACTATGCATGGAGGCATAGGCTGCTGAGAGAGATACATGTAAGATTTGCAAGAAAGACCATTAGAGATTAAATCTATGGGAGAACTAGAGAAGAACCACTAATGTACAAAGAAAAAGAAATTGTGACATTAAAACAAATCCTTAGAAGGGTAAGGGAACAAAGACGGAACTATAATTTTTTGTCATCACAGCTAATTAAAAACAGAATCATGTTCAGATGGCTTATCCCTGAAGGTTTGCTGATTTCATGGCAGGAGAAGAAAATTCGCTAGAAAAAGCACAAGAATTTCTTGAACACTATGTGACACCAGATGAAGAACAGGATAGTAGAGACAAGGTAGAGAGCAGAAGCCAGGAGGAACAATCAGTGGAAGAAAAAGGATTGGACCAAGAAGTAAGAGAAAGACAGGAAACTGAACACCAAGAAGTAGAGAGGACAAGGACACAGTCACAAAGGGAGATAAGAACAAGGAGAGGAGAGAGTGTTGAGG